ATGCTCTGAAGATTAGGATCTTAGAAACCAAACTTCAGATTTTGAAAGCTTTCTCTGGTGCTACTCATCTATTTCTAAACCACTTCATTCATAGAGAATGCAAGTATTTTGTGTCTGTCCTTTAGGCTCCAAGGAATGTAGCCTAATTATAGACTCTAGATTGAAGGAGAAGATTGGATAGTAAAATAAAATTATCATATACATTGATTAATTTTTCAATTTTTTTTTCATTCTCCGGTTGCCTATCCCTTCCAACTTTAGGATTATTAACTACTTAGTTCTAGAATCTTTAGATATAGTTAACTTTACACTATTGCTGTTGAAAGCTCTGTTACTGTTAGTAGAGTTAAAATTGTTCCATTTAGTAGACATTTCCTGTAGGTCAGTAGCAGGTAAATATATGGTTTGTCTTGGAGTTCCTACTATATTATAGCTTTCTTTTGTAGAGACGAGAATGGTACTTTATTGTTCCATTAGATTTGTCAATATTGATTTTGTATTTGCTGCTATAATTGATGCTAATTTTATCAATATACCAAGAAGACACAGCTGTTGTTATCAGTTGGTTTTACTGGGATGCCAATATCTGGATTCCCTTGGAGTCTTTAACAATCCTGTAGCTGACTACTGAAAATGTGGGTATTGTGCCTAATATGTTGCATCCTCCCATCTCCAGAAAATGGAAGTGGTTGTATCCTGGGACAGAGGCAAAGGCCAATAGTTAGCTATGCCAAAAGAACACCAGGCAAAAGTAAACATTAACTGAAGAGGTCTCCATACTAGAAACAAAACTTTTGACTAAAATAAGCCCACAAGCCTCAGCACAAAAAAAGAAACAAATAAACAAACAAAAAAAGAAACATGAGAAGATAAGCCAAAAAGAGGCTTTGAAAATCTCTCTACTCCAAAGATGATCCATGGGGCATTGAAGAGGCACAAAGCCAAAACTATACCAGTGAATTATTCAAAATTACATCAGGGGAGATAAGAAAACTGATCAATCAGACTTTGACTAACTATAAAAAATATAAATAATAAGACACTGGGAAATATAAACAAAATGATCAGTGAGTCCAAAGAAGACATTAAAAAAAAGGTAGAAGAGCTAAACAAAGGCACTGAATAGCCTTTGAATTTTAAAATAGCACTGAAATTTTAAGCAAAGTGAATAAAGATGGAGTCATCCTAATTCCTATGTTAAAGACGTATTATACAGCCATAGAAATGAGACAACACAGCAATAGAAAGAACAGAGATTACAGAAATAAACCCATACAATCACAGGCAAATGATTTTGAACAAGGTACAAAAAATATAAACAAGAGACATCATTTTTAGTCAGTGGTGTCAGTAAACTGAATATCCTTATACAAAACACTGAAATTTCATCCCTATACCTTACACTATATGAAAAACTAATTCAAATGGGTCAAATACCTACGTGTAAGAGAGGAAACTCTGAAACTACTAAAAGAAAGCGTAGAGGAAAGATTTCAAGGCATTGATGCAGGCATTGGCTGCCTAGAAAGGTTTTCAAATGCAGAGGTAGGAAGAGCAAAATTTAACAAATGTAATTGCATCTAACTAAAAAGCTTTTTCAAAGCAAAGGAAACAATCAACAGAGTGAAGATGCAATCTCAAAAGAGGTAGGAAGGATTACCACTTACTCATCTGCCAGTGTCCACATCCAAAATATATTAAAAATCAAAAACTTAACAATATAAAATTAAATAATCCAATTCAAAAATGGGCAAATGGCAAAGACACTTCTACAAAGAAGAACCACAAATGGCCAACAAATATGTGATAAAATATTCGGCATCATTCTTCATCGGGGAAATGCAAATCCATACTATCACCACCTCACCTTAGCTAAATGTGGATTATCAGAAGGTAAGATATAGAGAAAAAGAAACATGTACTTTGTTAGTGGGCACCTAAATTAGTACAGCTATTATGGAAAACAGTACAGATGATACTCCACACACGAGAAAGAATAAAATCACCTTATGATGCAGACTTTAAAATTCATGGGATCTCATTTCAAGTATGCTAACAAGGGAAAAGAAATCAGTACTCCAAAGACAAACTTTCACACTATGTTTATTGCAGCAATATCCACAATAGCTAAGGTACAGAGTTAGCCTAGAGGACTATCAGGAATGAGTGAATGAATAAATGATACATGGTCTATATACACAGTGGGGCATCACTCAGCCATAAAGTAGAGTGAAATCCTGTCATTCGAAGAAAAATGGTAGGAAATGGAAGTGAAATACTTGAAATTGTTTTAAGTGAAATAAAAGTAACACAGATAAGGACCACATCTACCACATGTTCTCTTTCTGAATGTGGACGCTAAAAGTAGTTGACCTAATAGTAGAATAGTGATTACTAGCCATTGAGTAACATATGAGGAGGAATGAGTAAGAAAAGAATGGTTGGATTTTATCAGTACTTAATGCAAACATATACATATTAGACTTTAGCAGTATCCCCAGTATGCTTATTTCCATTTGTTTATATAAGGGTAAACTATGTCAATATATATTTGAAGTGTGCCTTTCTAAATATCATTGGTTATGTTCAAAAGCCAAGAGGGAACAGAGAACATGAGAATCCACTGAAAAGGTAGAGCTGACACTAAATCTAAGTACTGAAGAAGCGTATTTCCCAACATTTAGGAATACAGAAATTACCCTATATTTAAAAAGCTGAGCAAAGCAGAAATAAAATAAGCAGTAAATCTGACATGTAGACCCACATAGAATAATACCAATGTTTGCTCATGGAAAAAAAATACCTATCGGGAGGGGAGGAGGGGTGAAGGGAGGGCAGGGACAAGGGGAAAAAATGAGAACCAAGACCTGTCATGTTAAGGTACAAGATCCCAATAATGAATGTAACTGTACTGTATACCTAAAATGTACCAATAAATTCAATTTAAAACATACATATCTGCAACTTCTTCTAGCAGCTCACCAAATACCCTTGAGCTTCAGCTTGTTACTCTGAACACTTCCCAATCTGTTAGTTTTTTATTCTATGCACTATCCTTTCCACTCCCCATTCCCTTTCCTCTGTTATGTCCTTCTCTTACAGTCTGTCTTGTGGGATCGATCTTTTCCATCATAGTATTTTACCAACTCTCAACAAAGAAAGGTGCCCTCCCTACTTGCTGGCCAGGCAAGTGCATATGTAAGACCTTGGAACCAATGCCACATTGTTACACACTGATTTTTAATACACCATCAAACACATATTACTTAGAAATATAAACTTGTATGATCTAACAGTATTGTAAAATCTAGCACCGTCAGATACGTAGCTAGGCAGATGTTTTCACAAACCATGTACATTCAGTGACTGCAAACTTACAGAAAGGTGGTGTCATAAAAAGACTGTATACTTAAGAAAAGTATTATCCATCCTCTCACATTTACACAAGCTTATGATCATATGTAAATCCATTCATTTATAATATATTTATCATAGTACATCTCAGATACATAAAATAACATCCAAAAATATTGACAAATTTCAAAATGCACAAAATGTCTTTAAGATTATATATATTTAAACTACAAATAATAAAAATTAATGTATAGGTGAGCATACTCATCTAATCTCAACCACATTCCATCTTGCATATATATATATTCAAAAACTCTTTGTATTCGTGTATCACAGGAGAGAGGAAATTTAGGGGTTAATGCCCCTAGATTCAGCGGATAGTCTCAGAGGAATCCGCGGTTACTATGAGGCAGCAGCGGGAATTAGGCGGTGGGACGGAACTGATGCTCTGGGCAAAGGATACGATAAGCATAGTCCCGTAAATAAACCCTCATCGTGGGTTTCTTCCAAAAGCTGAATCCCAGAGGCTTGCTGGTACTTATGGTCATGTTCCACTTGGCAAAAGAGTGAGTGAGTGATAACTGTGCCTCACATTTCTACACTTCGCTGAAGGAGTGACACTCAGAGTCTCCAACAAGCCAAAGCCCAAGGCAATGCACTGTGCAAAAATGTGATTCCTTGGGACTCCCAGATTCAAAGATCCGTAGCCACTGAACTTAATTTTGAAATGAAATTAAAGAATCGGCTCCATCTGTGTTCTCCAAGGAGACCTAGAAAGGTAGGCAAGTTGCTGTCCTCCACACCTCTCTATGAAGGAGATTGAATTGGAATCTCACCTCTTCTACATATTAGTTTCAGATGATAGTCTACTCTGTAATAACACAATCTAAAAATCTCTACAGCTATTCTTTAGCAAGATCTTAGTTCAGTTTCACCTCACTATCTTCAGCAACTCAGCTGACTGATGGAAATAATATTATAGATATATTATAAATATATTATAGATAGAAAAGGCAGTCCAAAAGGGGCAGTAGAACACTGTCCCTGGATTCTGTCCCATATTGATAATGAAAATTGAGGTATATTCAAGTTGCAAACATAGTTATTGTAACCATATTTCCTTAAACAAAAGCTACACAGTATCCTTGCATGTTAGTAACTTTATTTATTTGTTTGTTTGTTTGTTTTTATTAGTACCAGGGTTTAAACTCGGGACCTTGCATGGGCAAGGCAGGTGGTGGAACCACTGAGCTAAATCTTCATCCCTAATATCTTTAAATGTTATTTCGGGAAAAACTAATATGACTAAGATTAGAAATGCAAGAATTATTTATCATGATAGTTTTATTAGAATAGATTCCACTTTCAAATGCACCACTGTTCCATAGAAATAATTATGTTTGGAGGTTGTATGTTACCATCCCATTTTAAATGACATAACATGAATAAAAAAAACGAGCAGCATTATTTTATGTCAGAAAACATTATTTATTATAACATTTGAATTAACTACATACATCATTATATCTATTTTGGTATTGGACAATAATGCAATCTGAAGAATAAATAATAACATTAAGTTTTGGCTATCATTTGCAGAAAATAGATTGCATTGGACACAAAGAACATAATATTCATCTATATATATGTGCACATTAAGAAACACCTCCTCTCATCCTGTATCCTTCATCCTGCTAGGAATCCCAGACCTGGAGAATTCCCAGTTTGGGATTGCCTTTCTGTTCTGTGTCATGTATGTTGTGGCAGTTGTTGGCAATATCACCATCCTACATATAATCAGAATGGACAGCACCCTTCATGAGCCCATGTACCTCTTTCTGGCCATGCTGGCTGCTTCTGACCTGGTCCTGTCCTCCTCCACCCAGCCTAAGATGCTGGCCATCCTCTGGTTCCACGCTCATGAGATTGGATATCATGCCTGCCTCATCCAGGTGTTCTTCATCCACGCCTTTGCTTCTGTGGAGTCTGGGGTGCTCATGGCTATGGCCCTGGACCGCTATGTGGCCATCTGCTTCCCACTGCGACACCCTAGTATCTTGACTACATCCGTGGTGGTTAAAGTAGGGACTGTTGTGTTGGGGAGGGGGCTGTTGTTGGTGAGTCCCTTCTGTTTCATGATCTCCAGGATGCCCTTCTGCACCAACAGGGTCATTCCCCAGTCATACTGTGAGCACATGGCTGTGCTGAAGTTGCTGTGTGTTGATACCAGGGTCAACCGTGGATATGGGCTCTTTGTGGCCTTCTCCGTGGTTGGCTTTGATATTCTTGTCATCAGTGTATCGTATGTGATGATTCTGAGAGCTGTGTTACAGTTGCCCTCAGGTGAAGCCCGCTTCAAGACTTTTGGCACATGTGCTTCTCATATCTGTGTTATCTTGGCCCTGTATATCCCAGCCCTTTTTACCTTCCTCACCCATCGCTTTGGCCATCAGGTGCCCCGAGTGGTACACATCATGTTTGCTAATGTCTATCTACTGGTGCCTCCCATGCTCAACCCCATCATCTATGGAGTTAGAACCAAGCAGATAAGGGACAGCGTTATGAGAGGATGCTATGAAAAACATGTCTAAATCAAAGGAAACAACATCCAACTACTTGATATGCCATATTGATCTATAGATATAATGAAGAAAGTTTGTCAGGCCTTTTCATATCATCCTAAAGTTCTCTCTGTAAATAATTAGCCAAGAGACCAGCTATCTTCCACTTGAAAGAGGAATAGTGTTCAGTACATTCAGATGAAAGATCTAAGAGTTGTGGTGGATGGTAGCAAACTTTGGTGGCCTGTGTTCACCATCACAAACAACAACAGTTGTGTTATTTATTAAATCATTGGATGTTATAAAAGAAGATTATCTTCTAGTGATTCTGGCAAAAAACCCTTTTAATATCCTACAGTAGCAAGGTAAGTGGATAGACTGTTTACAAGGAACACAGAAACTTGTAACAGTCAGTTAAAATTTGCACATTTTCCCCATCTAGAAATATTTTTATGGAAGCAGAATTTGTGAAATAAAATCATGCATAAAGACATGCCTTAGATTATTATTTATAAAAGCAAAGCAGAAAATTATTCACATACTGTACTTAACCAGGTGAAACATTATACACTTGAATATCCATGTGCCTCTTAACTATTATAACTGCAACCAGGGTATGAAGATATGAGAAATGATCAACATGTAATAATACACAGAAAAGAAAAGAAAGAACAATTATTCATAAGCTGATGTCTTTAAATTTTGTACAAATATTAAAAAATATACCCAAAAACTAATAATATCAAGTTGGAGCAGGAGAATTGTCATATTTTCTTTTTTTTCAACTTTCAAAATATATATTTTATTTTTGTTATTATTAACATGTTTTACATACACATATTAATAGGGCTCAGTGTTGTGTTATGAAATTTTTTAAATGATCCCCAATTAATAGTTAAATATCAAAAAATGTTATTAAAACAATAAAAGCATAGTTGGGTTATTAATTTATTGCCAAAACCTAGGGAGTAGAATAAGCAATCTGAAAAGATAATGAACCCAAGAATAGATTAAGGTACACAAAAATGTGAAAATTGAGAAAAAGCATTGTTGCCAGAGCATAACGTCATAAGACTACTAAGAAAAAGTGTTAAGTTAGCTAAAGAATCTCTGTGGTTTCTCCGGGGTATTTCAGAAAGAAGGAAATGTTTTTGGTAAAGAATGAGGAAGATAATTCTGTCTTTTATTTTCTCTAGAAGCTTTTAAGACTTTTTTGGCTGGACATCTCACATTTCGCCTATGAATTGTGATGGAGAGTCACCATGGCTATTTGGTTTTCTGTAAGCTTTGCTTGCCTGTATGTTAAACTCTTTCTTATTACTTGGAAAGTTTTATGCTATGATTATTGTGAAAATTATTTACGTGTGATTTATGAGGTGGCAAAAGATTAGTTAACAGCACAACATTTAGGATGTATAGGCATATAAATTAATGTAGTCATTACATAGAACAGTATGGAGGGGGATCAAAAATCTAAGAAAAAAAATCACCAGTTAATCCATACTTTCAACTCCACATGATCTCACTTCTGAGTGTACACAGAATGGAAAAGGAATCAGCATAAAACCAATGTACTTGCACACTGTTTACTATAGCACTATTCATAATAGATAAGATATGGGATTAGCCTTGCTAACCATCAACTAATGATTTAATAAATGACGCATGGACTAAATGAAGTGTTATTCAGCCATAATGAAGAACGAAGTTCTATCATTTGTAGAAAAATGGAAGGAACTAGAAAACATTATGTTAGATGAAATAAAACCACCACAGAAAGACAAGTACCACATAGTCTTTTATTTGTAAGCTAAAAATAGTTAACGTGAAAGTAGAAATACAGATAGCAAAAATAACTCAAAGGACTTGAGTAAAGATATGCCATGTGTAAGAACTTAATAACCTCTATTAATATAAATATGATATGCCATAACATGATCGAAATTACTAATATCAATAAATGAAAAATGGGACAGAAAATTACAGGCAGAGGGAATGAGGAGGAGGGAAGGACATTTTAAAAATGTAACTAGCTGTGGTACATACCTGTCACCACTCCCCAAAATGATTGCAAATTGCATGAACTGCAAACATATACTAATAAAATAAAATTTTAAAAGGGATCACTAAACCAGTACACTGATTGGTTTGGTACCACTCCAATTATAGTAGACTCAATAAGATGAAAGGCAGAAGAAAGGCACTGTTAAGGTTTCTTTGTTACTTTTGCTACCATGTGGGAGTCAGGAACTGATTCTCCTCTGCAAGTTCTGTCTTCCACACCACCCTGCCTTGGGGCCCGCTAATTATGAACACACTGAAAATGTGCCCAAGTTACCTAACAGAAGGAAGTAATGCACCCATTAAAATATTGGATGATTAGTTGTTCTGAAGAATAGGAAGGCAAGAATTATTATGACAATATTTATATGATAATTTCCCTCTAACAGACCCTTCTTTCAAAAAATGCTACCATTCACTAAAAAAACACGTATGCTTATAACTTTTGTGGTATAGCCCAATGCCAACTTATATAATACAAATAAAAACCAATGAATGGCATTATTTCATGTTAGAAATACCAATTACTGCTAGAGTTTTGTGTACAGTAATGTAAAATTAAGTCCAATTTTCCTATTACCCAATAATCAATCTGAAAAACTAATATTATTAACTCTTTGCTTTGATTGTTATCATTTGCAAACTTCCTTGGAAACTCAGGCCATAATATCTATTCAGTTATGTTCACATCAAAGACCAGCTCCACTCATCCTGAGTCCTTCATCCCGGTAGGAATCCCTGGCACGAAGAATGCCCAATCTTAATTTAGATGGTGTCCATGTGAATTTACTTACAAGGAAAGTAAGTAAATAACCTACTATAAGTGACATAGTTCGGACTCTCAAAGGCAGGTGTGGTCCTTTGGATACAATTACTCCCTTCTACAAAAGCACATGTTCAGAAATCCCTTTTTCAACTTTGAGACAACTGTAAATTAGATCTGACATTTCTTCCGAATTAGGACCTTGACAATAGCCTTTCGAATCTGCTTAGTCTTCACGCTGTAGATGATGGGATTGAGAACAGGGGGGATGAGCAGGAACACATTGGCCATGATGGTATGGACAAAGGGAGGTGCTGAACGGCCATAGCGGTGAACTAGAGACAAACTGATGAGAGGAATGTAGAAGATGGCAACAGCACTGATGTGGGATATGCAGGTGTTGAAGGCTTTCTGTCGCTCCTCTGAGGAGGCAATGCTGAGGACTGATCGGATGATCAGAATATAGGAGACCAAGATACAAGGACAGTCAAATCCTGCAGTGGAGAATAGTGCAAACAGACCAAGGATGCTGTTGATTCTGTTATCTGTGCATGAGAGCTGAATGACATCAACATGGTAACAATAAGAATGAGAAAGGACCAGAGACTTGCAGAAGGACAGCCTCTTAACAAATAGCACAACCGGCAACATGACAGAGACATTCCTTATCAACACAACCACCCCTATCTGGGCAATCCTGGCATTGGTGAGAATGGTGGTATATCTCAGTGGGTCACAGATGGCCACAAATCGATCAAAGGCCATGGCCAGCAGAACCCCAGACTCCGTGAAAGTCAAGCCATGGAGAAAGAACATCTGAGCAACACAGGCATTTAAGTTGATCTTCCGGGCTTCAAACCAGAAGACAGCAAGGGTTGTGGAAAGTGTGCACAGAGATAAGCTCAGGTCTGTAGCAGAAAGCATAGCGAGGAAGTAATACATAGGCTCATGAAGGCTGTGCTCATGGAGGACCACCAACAAGATCACACCATTTCCAGAGAGGGCCATGATATACAAGAGACAGAAAGGAATGGAGATCCAGACCTGCACTGATCTCAGGCCTGGGATACCAGTCAGAAAGAAGGTGGGAGACTGATCTCTGGTATTATTGAGGACCAACATCACGGAGGGCTGAGGAGAGAGGGGTATTTGGATAATTGAATATAACAGACAAACACATATATAGTTTATTTCTTAGAACATCTTTCTGTCATTCTAAGATTACACAACTCCTACATCTAATTCTTGAAGAATTTAGTATTTGTGATTTCCTTTGAGCTACACGCTTCTCTTTCACCCTCTTATTGTTTCCTCTTTAATGAGACAGAATTACTTGAATTGCTCCATACCACATTTTTCTCAGGTAAAGTAGGCCGTATCTTTCTTTTTAGTGGCAGAAAACATCAAGGTAAAATCATCACTATCTGGAAATGTCCACAGGCAAAAACTTAAGCAATGTCGTAAGAACTTCAGCTTCCATGATTTTTGAACTAAATTGTTTAACCTAGAAGAAAGGATTTAACAAACCATATCATTTTTGAAATGAAATATTATTAGGCTTCCTTAGTGTGTGAGTTACTTTGCTCTCTTGCTAAAGTAAAATGTGTGACACCCAAAGTTAAAGGGGGAAAGGGCCAATATGTTCACAGTAGGTAGTAGAAGTTTCAGCCCATAAGTAGCTGACTCCATAACAGGGATGGCAAACAGGCATTGCAAAGGAGAAACAACATGGCAAGCACAAGGTAACAACGGTAACAAGGGAGCCTCATAGAGATGCGTGTAGTAGTTTAGCAGTCATGTCCCCTTAATTCCAACATCACACACTCTAGATTCAGCCACTGCATGAAGCTTTGGGGGGCATCTAGATGCAAGCCGTGCCATCTGGTAAATATCCAGAAGGATGTAAAAAATATCTCTGAGACACATGTCTATTTGTATATAGGTTGATGTTAGGATGATCCAAAGAACTACCCTAATATATATTAATATTGATCCCACTAATTGTGTGCTCCCTATGTTTTATATATTATTTTATTTTATTTTATTTTGTACTGGAGATCAAACTCAGGCCCTTGCACTTTTGAGGCAAGAGGCAGAATCACTGAGCCAAATCCCCAGCCCCGATATATTTTTGATATAGTATATGATTTTATGTGTGCTCCATCTGCAGGAGTTGGTACTCTGGGCACTTTGCAAATAAGGAAACTAAGATTCATCAATTGAAAGTTGCTCAAGTTTTCTCTTAAAAATACCTGTCTCTTTTTCAGAGACTATACCAACATAAGAAAAAGAGAAAAGAAAGAGAGGAAACAGAGGCAGAAATAGACAAAGAGAGAAAGGGAGATGAGGGTCAGGAGAAGGAAGAAAAAAAAGAATGGGTGAGAGGAAGAAATTTTTTTTCATATTTTACCACACTGTGTGAAGCACTACATTCTGTTAAATGGGAGCACAGACTGCTATTAAAATTCATATAACCTTCATAGTATCCAGAATTGCATGAATATGTACCTCCTGGTACACACCAGCATGTTTACATCTTTAATCTAATTCAATCACCGTAACTATTCAAGGAAGAAAAGTCTTAACATTAACAT